AACAATACGAAATATAGAAAAACTATTGATGATTTATTAACAAGCGCTGATTTTATTCAAATTATCCTTTATAAATTAAATATTGAACAATTTTTACAATTTATGAAAGCGGCTACTGAATTACAAAATAACTTAAATATTAGTAATATATTCTCAAATGAAAACTTTGATTTGATAGTACGTACATTTAGTGGGGTTGAAATTTTCCGCATATTGATAGAAGCTAATGCCTTGCAACTTCAAAATTTATTTTCTGACATGACAACTTATATAGATCAAAATTTGGAAATTCTACTTCAAAATGACGCTGTTGGTGTATTACAAATAGTTTTTAATTATGATATATGTGAATCATTCTGTGAATACTGTATTTATCTTATATGTCTCAATCCCAATGCATTATTTGACAACCCGCGATTAACTCAATTGGATCGTTCCATTTTATTTTTTATATTGCAATGTGATGATATGGGAAAATTAAATGAAAAAAAGATTTTTGATTGTCTAATTAAATGGGGGACTGCACAACACGAAGCCACGATTCTAAAGAGCATGATGACTTGGACAAGTCGAGAATTCGTGATTTTTGAGAAGTCTATTAATGATTTTATTCCTTTAATTCGTTGGTTTGCGATATCTATAGAAGACTTTAATCAAATTCGTTACTTTTTAGAAAATATCTTACCAAATGATTTATATGATAAACTTGTAGATCATAATCTTGATCGTAAATCATCACCAAATGAATTGAATAAGAGATATTTACCATGTACTTTCCTTCTTAAACCATGGCACTTTAAAATTTTTGAAAATTGGATTGAAGAAGGTGATAAAAATAAATCCTTTTTTCCCAAATTATTTAAATCAAATACTACAAATGAGAAAAAAGAACATTCTGAATCAATGACTTTAAATATGAAACCAAGTCACTTTTCAAATAATAATCTTTATGATTTTGTTCTTCTTTATCGTGGAACGGATAATAATTTTGACGTAAAGAAGTTTCATGACTCATGTGATAATAAAGGCCCGACATTAACAATTATTAAAATATCTGATCAACGTATTTTTGGTGGTTATAATGGTTCAAATACCGAAAATCATTATATTAAGAGCATAGTATCAAGAAAAAATTTTTTATTTTCTTTTCAGAATCAAAATGATTTTAGTACTTCTAAATTGGCACGTGTTAAAAAGAATAGTTGGGTTTCAGAATATCAAT